TCCCAGGCTGTTACAGCAACTGCAATTCCAAAAATAATTATTAGATTTAAGAGAAACACAGGTTCCCATTTCTCACCCCCTTAACCAAAGTCTGTTTAAGCGGAGAACATTTCCCTATCAGCACAGAGGCAATAGCTATCTATAATGGTGCAGGGCTTGCATTAAAAACACTGTACTTCAGAAGGCATACAAAAAACTAGAACTCTTGGTTCCAAAATCATACCTTTTATTAGACCAACTGGAAAATTGCAAGAAAATTATCCTTTTCTGCAAACCTTTGGGCTTTGGGGTGGTAATTAGTGCAGGGCCGGCTGAGGTGCAGTGGCAGTGTAGGGCAGCAGCGGCAGCACTGGCTATAGCCATGCCCCCCAAGATTGTGGCACACCTGGACATGCCTGACAGCACACCAGCTGGGAAACATTGTGCTGAAATATAGTGTTCATTCCTCTATGCCAGTGTTTCTCAAGTTTTTAAGTAGCAAGTACCCCTAACTTCTGAAAATATTAATAAGTACACCAACACTCAATTTTCCAGGGGATTTTATATTTATAGACTGTGCGCCATATAGTGGAAGAAGGGTTGTGTATATAAGGCTGTGATGTGACAAGATGTCTGACCTGGTGTGGATAAGGTTGCCACCTTTTACACCAGGGGTGCACAAAGCAAGTATGTACCTGGGCTAGAGGTGATATTGGCCAAAGCTAGGAGGGCTGAACCCAGTGCCACACAAAGTGTGGCATGCTATATTATTACTGGGGAATTTTCTGCCATAGTTTTGAGAAGAAAAGGAGGCAAGAGGGAGGAAAAGAGGGCATGAGAGAGCATTAGGGTACCCATGTACATCCAGGGGTATGCATATCACAGGTTGAGAAACTATGCTCTACGCTAAGCTAGTCTATTGCTTTTGCCTAGTTTTTCTCTACTTCCCTTCTTAGTAAGGAAAACCTACATCAAATATAGCACTTCAAACAATAGTTAAGGCTATTAAAAAAGTTGGAAAAGCAGAAGCCCCCAAAGTTTAATGAAACAGGAGTACGAATACACACTGAATTATGTTTCAGCATACTATTGAACTTGGTATCACACCAAGTAGCATTTGAAAATTTAAAATTACTTCCAGTAGAGAGACATTATAAATGGTACTAGTCATTTTGACTAGCAAAAATCTCTTTAAAGGGTAACTACAAGAGATGTTAGCTAAGCCTCAGGTGTGCAGGGAACAATCTATTCTATTTAGGTTGTGTTTTCCCTTTTAAATTAGTACAGCTCTGCTACAAAGCAGGAGGTACAAGACAAAACTAGTGTTTTTAACTCCTATAAAATAGTCCCATTTATTCACCATGGACAGCAGTCTTGTTCAACTCCCAAAATGTGCCATAACCTAAGATACAGCAACTTTGTTTCCATGCTTCATTTCCCTATACCCACCTCATAAGCCCCCTTGCAGGTCTGACTATCATCCTTTTATTTTGCTTTGAAAGATGTAAAGAGCTGTACTTGCCGACCATCAAAATAGATGAAGAGGGAGGTATTCCTTATGGCAAGAAAAAAAAAGTTTGCCACCTGCTTTTTGTTTATAAGCTCATTAAGTCACTGCCTCTTTCCATTTTTATTGCATTATATGGGACTGTCCACTTTATTACAGACTTGGTTAGTGTAAGTATTGATAAAAGTATGAAGGCTGCTGTTGCATATTAGATGACAATAATCTTATGACACTGCATTACTATCAAACATCGGCAGTGGTGTCTCGAGGCAGGCTTCGGCTTCCTGGACAACGACCCGCACATCACGACAAGGGACATGCTCAGCTGGGATAGACTTCACCTGTCCCCCAAAGGTAAGCGTGTGTTTTCTTCTAGGTTGGTGGATCTCCTCCGGCGGGCTTTAAACTAGGCTCGTCAGGGGGAGGGGAAGATGAGGGCGGGGGAAGCTGTGGACCACCAAACCATGTGGCACCCACAAGGACAGCCCAGCCTGAAGAAAGAGAGCATTGGGAACCTGAAAGCCATGGGGAGGCCAGCACTACGACACAGGTAAGAAACGAGAAGGTAAGAAACAAAGGGCCCCTTGGGACTCGGAGCGGGGGGGCAGCAAAGGCACCAGTCGCAGGGCTCAAGTGCCTATATACTAATGCTAGAAGCATGGGGAAAAAGCAGGATGAACTAGCGCTCCTGCTTGCACTAAACACCTATGACTTAGTGGGGCTAACGGAAACCTGGTGGGATTCATCCCACGACTGGGCAGTACATATTGAGGGCTATAGATTGTACAGAAAGGACAGGGTGGGGAAAAAAGGGGGAGGGGTTGCGCTCTATGTCAGCGAGCAATATACGTCAACCCTCATCAAGACGGAATCCAAGGATGAGGAAGTAGAAGGATTGTGGGTTAGGCTACATGGGGGGCAAGGAGAAAGGGATTTGGTCGTAGGGGTCTGCTACAGACCCCCACATCAAGGGGAAGAAAGAGATGCGGGGCTCCTGAGGCAGCTCATGAAGACCATAAAAGCTAAAGAGGCGGTAGTCATGGGG